TTACTGAATAATTAGCCATATTTAGACGTTTCAACTGTGGGAGAGCCATGCTTCAGCACGAACGGGCCGGCTCGACCGGAGTGATACCACGGGCTGAAGCAGAAAACCGACGTGAAACAAATCTTGCGCTGTATTTCGTTGTGTGAGCGAGGTTACATGACGCCCAATTCTCTACTATCCAATATCCCTAATCCCCAAAATCCCCAAAAATCATCAAGTTCCTAACCCCTAAAAGGCCCGGTAATACACATGTAACGCTTCTGGTGTTGCAGGTGTCCATGGACGACGTCGATTGCTTACCATTAGGTGATGCGTCTGCTCGTTTGCCAGCTTTTCCTATAAAAATAGGTTTTTCATAAAATATGACATAAAACTCTTTTCAAAAGCGATTTCAATTCAAAAGCGCTTTATTATTTTAATGATGGGTAATTACAATTTTAGGTCACGTAAAGAACCCGTAACGGCAAATCAATCCTGTTTGTGGACCCTCGTGTAATGATAATAATCTACATTAAATTATATACTTATAAACCTCGAGTAGTGAAATAGAGACTATTTTTAAGATAAAATTGCTATTAACTCGTCGAGTACCGGTTTGTAGACACAATTATAGAACAATAGGTTGCGGTCACCGGTGACCGCTTGGTGTTTGACAGTTTAAACTAAAAAAAAATTGTTCTAAAACCTATTAATAAAATCGCTGAAGATTTCAGTAAAAATGTATAACTATATAAATTTACGATGTACATTGGTTTGTTAAGGAATACAAAAAATGGCACAAAGTTTAAAAGATAACACTTTTAATAAATATTTAAATACAATACTTTATCTACATATCATCTTAACTGGATTGAATGACAGAAGTAAGACTATAAAGACTACAGAGCAATATTTAATATCATAAACCATAGAAAACCATACGAAAATTCAATCAAAAATGCAAAACGTAATTCCATTACACAAGCCACAACAACGAACTCAATCGAGAAATTTATTATTTACCTTCGTTCCGTTTAAACGTGCTGAACTATCTCATAAACTAGAGTACGGACGAACATCTAAACTAAAACATTTACTAAGCAAATTGTATCGACCGCCATGGCTCAGTAGTCGTCGGGAACTTGGTTCAGGCACAGTCCAATACCAACCGCAAGGAGTTCGTCATTACTGAAGTGCCTTTAATTGGAACTGAAGAGCAAGCAATTATTATGCATAACTTTACAAGAGCCATCGTCTCCCCCGACTTAATAGAGGTTATATTAATTGACAAGAATTGATTTACTAATGCAAATTTTAATTGTAAATTTCCATGCCTTTTCACCAATTATATTCAATAAAAACATATTTCATATTCAATAGATGAAGTTAATTAAAAACGACGCACAAAAAATAGTAGACAAAAAGCTTCACTTGTATGTGAGTTCGCTGTCTTAATTAAATTTCTTTTTGTATATCGTGTTGTGAAAGGACAGTGACTGGCCATCAAATAATATTTGATATTAAAGCAACAAAGTTACTTATTATCTGAATATTTATATAAAGCATTACAAAAGAGGGAAGTCACTTTTCACGAAGCAATGAATACCTCGTGAAGAGGGAAAAGAATTAGTTTCCGCTTTCAAAGTGAGTCCCTTAGATTTTAATATTTATAAAATCCCGTTGAGGACCGGAGTTGTGGAACTGTCTTCAGTGTTTTTTGTGAGGACCCCAAAGTTGGCGTTTTCATAACTCTTTCTTTGGTAGGAGTATAACAAGTTTTCTGCTGACACAACATCCCTTCCAGACGTTTTGGGGGACGATAAATAGAATGTAAACGGTTTAGTAAACCTTATATTTAAGAAATATGTTCGGAATATCGAGATTTTCTAGCTTACCAAGTATGTTTTTGATTTATGAGCTTTGAACGTAAAAAAGTGTAATGGCCAAAAATAGAGTTAGTCCATTTTTATTATTGTCTGCACTGACACTGCTGTCGCGAACATTGAATTTATTTTAGTGCTTGCTAGACTGATAATATTGCAATTTGATTTATTATGTTCATTCTCTGACATAAAATTGTAACTTCAATTGTTTTATAAAATTGAATGAATAAAATTGTTTGGTTTGTACAACTGATAAAATCGATACTAAAAGTTCTTGGAAATATTCATACATAGTTAAACAATATTTTCAAGCCATGTTAAAGTAAAAAGATATTCAAACCAAGGTTAAATAAATAATTTACAATACCGAAACAGTATCAAAAATAGATAAACCAAAAAAATAACTCAATAAAATCACACACCCCGCTCCGTCTCAACGCCAAAACAATTTCTCACCATCAAATTCTTTCACCTTTCCCTCATACTTTAACCCTACAACATATTGGACAGAGTTTCGTGGCGACACTTCGTAAACAAAATAATATTTAGATATGAAGTCGTTATCTGGGGTTGAACTCGTGAGTGTGACAAAGTGACATCTATAAACGCGGTTGAAGCGGCAAAACACTTGAATGTCGACCCCAACGAGCTACGAAATACGCAAATTGAATAAGGAGATACGGCATTGTAGGGTTAAGATGTTTATTGATGTAAGAGCACTGGAGAATGGCCTATTCAATTTGTGTGAAGGTATTATACATAATTTTCTTACCTGGTGACTTTGTGGTCTTGTGGTCTCGTTAATTTGACTATTAAGCTAACGCTATAGGGTTTAATTGTTGTTGTCATGCTTGCTACGGCTAATCTTTAATGGTGGTTGGTCCATTTTTATATCAGTTATCATATATTTTTTAAGGAAGTTCTTTTTATATTTGATAAGCCGACGTTTGACCACTATGATGGTATTTGCCTGATGGTAATCGATGATGCGGTCTACGAAGGAGCACGTCGTCCCATAAGAAACGTATTCACTAGGGCTTTGAAGACACCTAGGTTATACCCTACAGGAAATACAGGAAAGTATATTTTGTTTGACTCTTATTAACTAACTATTTACTCAACTTTAGAGCAAAGAGGGCAATAGCTAATATTTTAAAAACTAGAACTAAATTTACGTACTTATACATTACACACTTTTTAACAAAAAATCTACGCAATTGATTTATCGAAAAATTAAAAACATTCATCATGTATCTGACAGCCATTTTAAAAACACATTCCACTGCGATTACTTTTCAATTACTACGAAAAACCAAAAAATAAGGTTTTAATATATCGATATGTGATATTACCTCTAAAATGTTCCAACGTTGAGAATATGGGTGTATAAAGTTCCAGCCGTTTGAACAAAGGACTTCTCGTGTAAAATACCCGCCGGGTATAACACGATAGGTGCACAGGATATCTTAGATTTACAATATTTGAATCGAATATATAAAATTTTCAATTCTGTAGAAAATGGCAGAGATAGAGTGTATGTCGGTTACAAAGTTAAGTTGCATGATATGTTTGTTTGTGTATATCCATTTGTTTTACGTTTTAAAGCCAAAGCCAGCCTAAATGAAAGCCTGTTTTTCATATATTATTATCAAGTTATTCGATTGTGAAGTTAACGCTTAACCTCCGTTAAAAAAGTAAATATAAGTGAAAAATACGCAATGCATACTCTTTCGGGGCAACAAGAACGAGAGTAAGTAACAAGAAAAATACATTTTATAGATAGTTTTTTTTACAGCTCCAATAAATCCTTTTATCATTCCGATACTCGAGTTAAGTGTTCCTGCTTTACCCCAGAAAGGTAATCAACTAAAAACACTATATAAGTACCTAAACAAAGAAAGCAACATAAAAAATCAACGGCTACCATGGAAGTGGCAACGTTTCATTACATTCGGTTTAATTCGTCATTCGTAGCTCGTCGTGTCGGCATTGTTCGTGAGTTTGGGCACTTCGAAACAAACTTCTACGCTCAAGTGTTTGCGTTCCTGGCTCTTTAGTAAATTGTTATTCATAGCTTTGTATAAACGCCGCCCTCTCGGAAAGAGTACTTCACTCATACTCTTACGCTCTTATCTCCCAGTTAATATCATCCCCAGTTGTAAGGAAATTATTTTTCCTTCGTCCTTTGTTTCCTTTGTAACTAGTTCGAGATTGGGCGTTGGTGGCACATAACGCTTTGATTCCCAAAGTATGTTTCTATATAGATAACAATAATGTACTCATAAAGTTTTATACGTTTTTGTTAATGCATTGTTACGCTAGTGTGGTACCCGTGTTATCGACGATATACTACTTAAGTGTTCATTGCTGAAGTGGCTATAAACTACCTCTTCAATCTTCAATATATTCAGCGTAAAATGTTATGAAATAAACACACCTGATCTTAGAATTTAATTCATACTTTATTTATAAGCTGTTGCTCTGCTCTTATTAAGGTACCCGACTTTATGGCTCGTAAAATATACCTGTGCTAACCCAAAGAAAAATAAACAAAGAAAATCTAGTATCAACTTGATGCAGAGGTTATGACCAAACAATTTCATTAATTACAAAAAATCTAAAAGATACGCTCCATTCAAAATAGTAGCTTTCATACAAAGTGTAACTTAAAGAAAAATAAGGATAGCAATAGTTTTCGTAGTTTCACGATCACAAGATTGATAACGGACATGCGCAATTCTGCTTTAGCGGTGTCTCTGAATGAACGCGATTTCTTTAAAACGTGCAAAAACCGACCTTACACCTTTTCATTATGTTACATATTCGACTAGTTAACCTAATATTGTGTGCACCAACGCATTGGCACGTAACCGTGAAGATGCATCTTGAACGAGTAACACTCACATGTTTAGTATAGATGCACACACTCTTAGAATGTACAGAACTCAACAACTAGAAGTTAGTTGTCGTCCGTGTGTGTAGGTACATACATTTCTGTGTGTATATAAATTTTCGCGAAAGCAAGATAGGGCAAAAGAGGAAAAGCGCCCGTAGTAAAAGCGAGCAAAACGGCGGCGGCCGGGTGGCCGGTGACAGTTGTCAGTATGTTGTGGAGCACGGTAAGGGATGGTGGTCTCGGGGGAGATCGGTTTTGGCGCTAAATACTTCGACTTCCCGCGCTTTCTCGGCCACGTGAACTGTTAAACTAACTAACTTTATAATGATTCACTGTTATAGAAGACTTTGAAAATTATATCCGAATACAGTGCCGCCGAAATGAACTCGTGTAGTATTATAAAAAAAGTTATTTTGAACTCATGATTGTGTCGTGCCATATTGGTAGTTGTCTTCGATCGAGTGAAAAAGTAAGTGATTGAATATTATTTTTCATTTATACTTTTTTATTGTAACACCCTGTGAAATAAATTACATTTGTTTGAAAGAACAAAGCTGTCGAATAGTCATATTTACGAACCAAATATGATTTTTGTTTTGAAAAAGTTGAACAGATTTCAATATTGTGTTTTGAAAATGTTTATATTGTTTAATAGAGCTTCATAAATTGGAAATATTACAATTACTAATTCAATTGCAATTAATACAAAACATTTTATTCTTTATTGTTCTGTTAATATATTGAAATAATTTTTAAATTCCTATAAATAGAAAAATAAACAAAAACGAATTAAGCACTTTATTATGAATGTTTTATACAACATTTCCGATTAAAATTGATCCTTTAAAAAACTTTGAAAAGGTTTCAAGAGAAAGAGTTTGTAAGGAATTTTGTTTTGTAAATGAAATGTTGTAATTTGTTTTACGACTTTCTCGGAACTTTACCAATAAACATAATTAACTTAACTTTTAGTACGAACAGAAAGCGTCACGCACAACACCCTTTGGGACATCTTCATTATAAAATTATGTCTTATTGTACTCCATTCACAATCCCCGCTTTTGGAAACTTTCCTTCCATCATTTTGTTGTGTTAACTTTTTGATAAGACGTTTGCTGTGTAGGTATACAGCAAAGTATAGGTATAGTTTTTAAATATTACGATATATTTATTATTTTAAGCATAAATTATTGAATAAATATTATGACGAATTTTATGAATGTGATATTTAAAAGTTCGTTATTTTTAGTGTTTTTAAAATGCTTTTAAATTTTAATTCTGTTAAATTATAAAAAAATCCTTTTGTTCCGTTGACAATAATTTTATATTACTTTTAAAGTTTATTTATTATTCTGTGTTTCATTTCATAATACATTTTTTGATACATATAAGAAATTAAAAATAAATAAATATATTTATAAAAATAAACAAACATAAAGATAAGCAATAAAATATATTTGAAGTTAAACGATTAATATGAGATTGCTGTACTATTATTGAATTCGAAGAACAATTATACTTTTCTTGATACAGCAAAATAGAGTTTTATATAAAACTAGCTGTTGCCCGCGACTTCGTCCGCGTAGAATAATGACTTCTGGCAGAATTTAGGCTTAAGAATTAGTTTTTATCAAGGGATATTCTACGGTAATGGATGTCGTCAGAATTGATTCAGTCCCGTAGATGATAGCGTGATAATATGTAGCCTATATGTTTACCAGACTTGTGAGTAATATTCATGCAAAATTTGAAATAGTAGTGCAGTACTTTTTGAGATCATCACGGCCATACATACCTACAGACAAACAGACAAAAATTCTAAAAACCACATTATTGGCTTCGGTATCGATTAGAGATCACGCTTCAAATATTCTTTTAAAAAATATTCAATGTACAGTTTTGACTTTTCTACGATTTATTATATGTGTAGATAGCTGTTGCCCGCGACTTCGTCCGCGTAGATTAATGACTTCTGACAGAATTAACCAGAATCAATTCAGTGCCCAAGTAAGATTTACCTATTTTGAAATGATTTATCGTAGTTTCAATAAATAAATAATCCCGCAGGGATCTTACCAGTACAGTGCCCGATCACGTAAGGTTTGAGTAATAAAAACTATTCTATCGACTATTGTTGTACCGAATCTCTCTAGAATAAGTTCAGTGGTTAAGAGTTAGAGAGTCCTGGGGCATTGACGCATAGTTCCCGTTCTCGTGAGACATCTGTGAAAAAACTATCATACGTTACCCAGGTCCCAAATCATCGTTTTACCGAATGTAATTCAAAAAGATTCAATGATTCTAAATTCAACGGCTAAGAAGATTTATACAAACTCTCATTCCCTATTTTATCCCCTTAGGGGTGGAATTTATCAAAATCCTTTCTAAAGAGATACCTATGTCATAGTAACTTTATGCATGCAAAGTCTCAGCCCGATCAATTTAAAACTGGCAAAGTATCATACTTTGGGGTGAGAATGTTCAAAAACCTTTCTAAAGGGACGTTTACGTCATAATATCCATCTGCACGCCGAATTTCAACCCGATCGGTGTAAAACTGACAAAGCCTCACACAAACGTTCATCCCCTATTTTACCCCCTTGGTGGAAATTATCAAAATCCTTTCAAAGCGGATGCTTACGTCATAACATCTATCTGCATGCCAAATTTCAACCCGATCAGTTAAAAACTGACAAAGTTTCATACAAACTTTCATCCCCTTTTTTACCCCCTTGGGGGTGGAAATTATCAAAATCCTTTCACAGCGGATGCTTACGTCATAACATCTATCTGCATGCCAAATTTCAACCCGATCGGTTTAAAACTGACAAAGTCTCATACAAACTTTCATCCCCTATTTTACCCCCATTGGGGGTGGAAATTATCAAAATCCTTTCACATCGGATGCTTACGTCATAACATCTATCTGCATGCCAAATTACAACCCGATCGGTTTAAAACTGACAAAGTCTCATACAAACTTTCATCCCCTATTTTACCCCCATTGGGGGTGGAAATTATCAAAATCCTTTCACATCGGATGCTTACGTCATAACATCTATCTGCATGCCAAATTACAACCCGATCGGTTTAAAACTGACAAAGTCTCATACAAACTTTCATCCCCTTTTTTACCCCCTTGGGGGTGGAAATTATCAAAATCCTTTCTTAGCGAATGCCTACGTCATAACATCTATCTGTATGCCAAATTTTAGCCCAATCTGTCCAGCGGTTTGGGCTGTGCGTTGATAGATCACTATGTCAGTCAGTCAATCAGTCAGTCAGTCAATCACCTTTGAATTTTATATATATAGATTAAAAGATAATATTTCAAACAATAAACTAAGTCATTATAAAAGGAAAATTCTTAGAACTAACACAATAGTGCTTGACGATGAAAATAAAAAGTAATAAACAAGACAGACCATTGCACTCTGACGCTTCGATGAGATTTAATTATTTATCTGTGGTCTTGCTAAATGAGCTAGATACTACCTTAAAGAGAACTGATACAGGTTGTTGTAGTTTTTTCTGTAGCAAATCAAATTCAGAACGTCCATAGCTATTTTTTTTTAATTACCAGATCGAGTTGTAGCGTTATATTTTGTGTCAATTACAATTTATTGGTTAAATAAAGGGGCTTCATCATATTTGATTAATTTAATAGATTTTCGTGTTCAGTTGTAGATAACATTCCAATTAATGATACATTAGGATTTCAACATCTACATTGTGCGCCAGATGAAGCTTCAAACTTCGTAGACTGATGCAATCTGGGCATAAATTTTAAATGTTTATGTGTTCAGTTATGATTAGATTTTGGCAGACAGCGTTCTTTGATTAAGAAATAAGTGTATGAATATTTTAGTAACGAATTAAAAAATAATTATAGTAGAATGTTTTCTATGTAGATATTCCATGAAAGTTATTAGCTCGAAACATAACTAGGAAACATGGTGGTGTTATAAAATTAGATAATATTTACTCTTCTGCTTACTCATTAACGTTACAAAATATTATCATTATTTATTTTCTTAGCTAACACACAACACCTATAGGTACGGCAAAAACAATATAAATTTAAACTCTAATTCAGAAACACTTCCTTTACTTTTAAAATTTCAAATATCGAATTAAGAAACAACAATCAAGACTAAACATTCATTCTAAAATAATGTGCATTATAGTAACATTTATTGGTATTTCTACCTTATTCCAAAGGCACTAAGTATGAAAATGAAATGTGATTTGATAGTTACCTATTGGCAGCACTAGTAACTTCCATATTTGAAGTCAAATGAGCCAGACTTCACCCGAGGGGTTACACGTCAATAGATATGAGGATTTACATATATCTACTTGGAGATAGATGAAGCTTGAAACATTGGTGTCACTTGAATTCCATATTTTGATTATTTGTAAAATATTTATTAAATTTTAATGCATTGGTCTGTTGTGTGTATTATTTTGAAGTGTCCTGTTAATTTGAGGGTCTATATAAGTATCGTACATTTTTGTTGAAGAGACCGGTTGCCATTTAATTTAATGTGAACGAATTCCAAATAAAGTATAATACCTTTTATAATTTAAGTTTCGATGCAGCCCAATTAGCAGCTAATATGTATCTTCATTTTTAATCTATGACTGAAGGGCAAAATATAATCCTAAAATTTATTTCCAAATACTAAATAACATCTCTTTTAAAAGAAAATAATCACTATATCAAAATAGTGAACACTAAATCTAAAATTATATAGCTAAAATAACAGCGCATGAATTGTAAGCGTGGGTTTACTAACAAACACGATAATTATCGTTAACAGAAACAATTTCAAATTCAACTTAGACCTACTATTTTTTAGTCAGACTGTTTGACTTATTAAAAGTGTGAGTGTAGTAATTACAGTTGAAGGTTGTCTAATAAGAGACTAAGACAAGATGCTGAAGTTCAAATAATCATCAATCTGGCAGATGTAATATCACTATTCCCACATGTTTGTTCCCACATCCTTTAAATGTAGGAGATCCATGCTTCGGCACGAAAAGGCCCCAGAACCTCGACCAGACTGATACCACGTCTTGACAGAAAACCGACGTGAAGCAATGCTTGCGTTGTGTTTAGTTGTGTGAGTGAGGTTACCGGAGGCCCAATTATCGTCCGCTCCCCTTCCCCAATCTCCCCAATCCCTGAACCTCGACCGCCCTGAGGACACGGTGGAACACACAGTGGGAGAATGCCCTTCGTGGGCTGAGCACCGCCGTGTCCTCAGGGAAGTGATCGGCGATGGCGACCTCTCGCGTCCGGGCCTAGTGCAGGCCATGATGCGGAGCGAGGGGGATTGGGAAGCCGTCTCCTCCTTTTGCGAAGCAGTCATGCTAGCTAAGGAGGAGGCGGGACGCGTGAGGCAGCGAAGCGCTGCCTCCTCGCAACCCAGCCATCGCGAAAGACACACCGGGCGTCGGGGATCG